AAATTTGGGTTCTTGCAAGTTGATTTATGATTTTTTTTTTGGAAAATAAAAGCGTTTTTATTTATTTATTTAAATTATGTTGATAATCTCATTTTGGTGGCGGAATATCAGCAAATAACAAATCCTTGAACTACTGTAACACATTTTATAAAACTCCTGGATTAATCCTGCGTCGGTTTTTATTGAATCGAACTAGCCGACGTTTCGCCAATCATCCTGTTGGCTTCTTCAGAGCTTGACTGTACCTGATTTTATATTGTTTAAAGGGGGCCGAGACAAATGAGGGGCATAAACACCTTCTCGGATGACTGGTTTTCATATTGGTGAGTCGCAGTTAAGATTGTTAGGTTGCTTATAGATTTCTATAGACTCTCGGATTTTTCGTTGAGAGAAGAATTGATTACATCCAAGAATTTTAGTTTTCCTCAAATAAAACTTTATGTCCGGTTTCGTGATTGTGTTCGGCAACTGTCGATGAGTATATTTTTCTTATTCTTAAGGCTCTTTCATGTTCTTTGAGTCTAGTTGATATTTTTCGTCCGGTCTCTCCAATATCCTCTTTGCCGCATATGCATGGAAGGCAGTATACTCCTGGCATCTCAAATTGAATTTTGTCTTTGATGGATCGAAGATGTTGAAAGATTTTTGGACAAGTGGTAAATCTTGTTTTGACGTTACATTTCTTTAGAACTTTTGATATATGTTCAGTGATGTTTTGAATATAAGGAAGGACAACAGTGGCAAGTATGTGGTGAAGCGTATTTTGTGATGGATCGCTTAATATCTTTAATGAGGAAATTATTAAAGAGAAGAGCAGAGGTAAGGTGTTTTAATTCTGGGTTCAATTACTCGGGCTGACACAGTTTTAGGGCTCTGTAAACAAGAGAGTTGATAACCGATGATTTTTCGACCGGTGGTGATGTGGGTCATTGTGTTTACAGGAAACCTACGCACACAGGCCGATACCTTAGGGCCCAAACATTATCGAAAAATATCAACCAGGCTCAAATAACATGAAAGAGCTTTAAGACTAAGACAAATAAACTCATCAGCAGATGCCAAACACAATCACGAAACCGGACATGAAGTTTTATTCGAGAAAAACTAAAATTCTTGGATGTAATCAATTCTTCTACCAACGAAAAATCCGAGAATCTATAGAAATCTATAAGTAACCTAACAATCTTTTTTTTTATATAAAAAGTTACAAATCCTCCAATCGTAATCTATTCCCGGGCTGTGATATACATGCTAAAAGAATTATGAACACTTGATATACGTCTGAGATTTGAAGTAGGAAATATTGCTTATTGCTTGATATATTAGCAGATCCTTGATAAAATATATTCACCGCCCCATGAATGAAGCGAATTAACTTAATAAATTTCCTGCGCAAAAAAAATTAGATCGTGGGGTTGTTGATCTTCGATGGTAGATGCGAGAACACGGTTATACGGCCCAGGCCGCAGTGACATTGCGGAATTTGTTATTAACCTACATTCCGTGGCGATATGATCGATACAAAAGTCTAATAAAGTATATAATCGCGGTGAATGATAAACTACCGCGGCAAAGATTTTTGCATATGCTTGCGCCGTTCGCTAAACTAAATAATACCGTCAAAAATGAGCAATGAAACATCGTGTTAACTCTATACTATTCGTGATGACTTTCGGAAAATTACCAGGCGAATTAGAAGATTGGTTTAATATTTTCGTGAATAGAATAACGAGCTTCGTGGATTGTCCAATTATTCGGTCAAGTGAATTGCGATTTAAACCCAGTTTTGCTTAAATAATGCCTCGAAACATTCTATAGACTTCGTATTTAAATTGTTAGCGAAGAATAAATCCAATAACATCAACTACGGAATTGTTTGACTCACCGTTTTAACTCTTTTTTGTAATTGTTGCTAATTTTAATTTTGTGGTTCTTTTGAAGTTAGGAAAATTTCATAATTGCTCTGAACTTTCGAGATATTGATTTCGCCATCTCTTCCAGACTTTCAGAAGGCGATGGTGATCAAGAAAAAATATTGTTAAAAGAAAAATCATCATTAAAAAGTTGCAGTCTCTGACAAAAACCGTTCCCGACAGCAAACCGTACAAGTTATGTGCGACCTTTTGATACCATTCGATAGAGAAAAGATTAAAGTAAATTTCAAATTCTCAAAATTATAAATAATCGAAATATAAAATATTTTATCGGAAAAAACCGTTTTTTAAGAAACATAATTAAACAATGGACTTTTTTTAAATACCCCCCAGACCCCTTATCTTCGTGCCAAATTTCAGCCTGATCGGTTAATATTGACCTCGATCCAAAATTTTCATGGTCGCGATTTTTCCCAAAAATTTACATCTTTAATTTTTTTAAATACCTACCTTGCTCCGAGAAGATTGAAATTTTCATAGAAGATGGAGGTCAATGAGGCCTACCCGCAGATATCACACATCCCTCTCTATTTCATTATAATTAAGCATTTTTTAAAAAAAATTCCAGGGTCCCATAAAAACCGTTCCCGACGGCAAACGGTAAACTTGGGTGAGACTTTTTGGTATCGTCGGATAGAGGAAGGACCAAGGTATATAACGTATAAATTCAAGTTCTCAAAATTATAAATAAGCGAGATATTAAACTTTCTAATTTGACCATCGATTTTCGGGCGGATTTTTCAACCCAAAATGCGTTTTCAATGTGATTTCCCCAAAGTGAGTAAAATTCTGCATAGCGGGGTTTTCGAAGACGAGAAATTCGAAATTTTAATTATTTTTTGAATTTTTTTAGTGTTCTGATGATGGTTTTCCAATAAAACGAAACGTCGGACCGAATTTTAAATCATTACGACGTTTTCAGCACATCCCAAAACCCCCGGAACCACCTAAAAAATCCAATTATTACGTATTAGTGCTGTGAAGATTGCTTCGTAGTAAAACGAAACGTCGGACAAAATTTTAAATCATTGCATAGAAATATTTCACGTTTCGATGGCGACGTTACTCCAACGAAAATCTATAATGAAATGAGTCTCCGACGACATGCAGAGCTTACTATTTATAGTTAAACGCATAGACTAATAGGATTAAAACTTGAGAAAATTAAAAATAGAGCATACAAATAAATCTCCCAGCCTACTTATGAATTAATATTAAAATTAAAATTAAAAAGTTGCTCCGATGGGGTCTATCCACAGATACCATAAAGTTCACCCCAGCCTCCTCCATTTAATTGTATTTAATTATTTCTTAAAAATTGGCAGTCTCCTGGATGACTAAAGTATTTAAAAGATATTAAACATTTAAAATTGATCATTGATTTTTGAGCCCCCCCCCCATTTTCAGTTAATATTTTCGATTTATTATTTTCATGTTTGTCATGATTTTCCTCAAAAATCTAGATTTTTAATTTTTGAAAATACTTACGTTCCTCCGAGAAAGTTGAAATTTTTATCGAACATGTTGGTCTCCCCAGCCCCCTCCATTTAATTGTAATTAACTATTTTTTAAAAATTTGCAGCCTCACACAAGAACCGTTCCCAACGGCGAACGATGATAGATCAGAAGACAAAGGCAAAACGGAATGATATCATTAAAGATCTAACTTTCCTCCTAAAGGCAATGGTTGAATGAAATGCTTAGTAGTTCCAGGAAATCTGAAGGTATTTACCTCGCAGTTAAAAGCAATCGTGAAGAAATTCAATTATGTCCAAACGCACGATTCATTAGATATTTCTAAGTAACAGGTCTATTGAAATGATTGGCGTTCTTTCGGTTCCTCCTTTAAGAACAATGTCGGCTCTATAAAATCATTAAATGACGGCGTATTATTAAAACTTCCTTTGATTTGGCAGGCGTATCCGTCACGCGATTTTAGTTGCTTACATCGCCGTGTGCCCAGTAGTAATGAACGTAATTTTTAACTAAATATTTAATGCCTGTTTCGATACAGTTAAAACCGATCGTTTCGTGCGATAAACGAAAGGATTTATTTGTGAATGCACTTAAATAGCCAAGCTTAAGCGAAGATATGCGTGTTTCAACATGTGTATAAAGGGATCCATACACTTGACGGTTCAATTAAAGTCTGCTGATTGCGCAAAAAAAAACAACCCCTTTTAAATCCATAGTCGATAGCGGAGGTGTCCTTGGCCATTAGAATGTGACATTATCGTTAATTTAATTAATGCATCACGCCAATTCTAAAGTTTTTATGGAATCTTCGAGGTCTGAGGAACAATTATGAATGCAGTCCTTATAAGAAAGAAAGAAAGAGTTTATATAATTTTTTAATTTTTTTATAATCACGACTAGTAATTATTTATATGCATTCACAAGTAAACACCCTATCAAGCAGGTGAAAATTAATCTAGCTTATGTAAATAATATTAGCTATAGCTATTATTCAACTTTTCTACTAGGATCTACTTTTAATTCTTGAGTAATAAGTGTTATCATTTTTAGTATTTTAAAAGCTAGCCCGTTAATAAAGACTATCTCTAAAGAAATTTTGATGATGACAATGATATTGTTTACATATTTCCTACCATAGTATACAACCATTTCAATGAGGTTGTTTAGTTTATTTTATTTTTCATTTGCGTATACTTTTCAGTATAATTGAGCAAACAATGTCATAAAGCTAGAACTATTTTCCGTTCGGGACAGTGTTTGCACCGGAAATGTAAGATTGTTCTTGTGCTGATGGTTGTGTAAAAGATTGGCGTAGAGAAAAAAAATAAAAACACGATAGGTTGAAATATGTTGACAGCTGGAAATGTCAAGATATTTAGACACCTGAACCTGTGAGCACTTCCATAATTCATTATGCTGTAAAAGTTGGCATAGTTAAACTGCGATGAGTGTGTCCCTCCCTAGACAATTTTTCAGCACTCTTATAGAATCCTTCAGTATTTCTTTTTTTTAATTCCCTTTGCGCATCGGCGCGCTTTAAATCTTACATAGCGTAAACAAATGTGCACCATTAGATTTATTTCTACTTACCAACAACGGTCGGTTCCAAATCTACGAATACGGCCCTGGGTACGTGTTTGCCGGCACCGGTCTCGCTGAAAAAGGTGTTGAACGAGTCATCGCCGCCTCCGATGGTCTTGTCGGAAGGCATTTGTCCGTCGGGTTGAATCCCATGTTCCAGACAGTAAAGTTCCCAACACGCGTTGCCGATCTGGACGCCAGCTTGGCCGATATGGACGGAGATACATTCCCTCTGAAACGCAAGTTGAAAAATAATTTAAGGAAAGAAAAATCAGGTAGTATTCACGGTACGATACAAAATCTGGAAATGGAAAAAGTTTTGTTTTTTCGTCTTTCGACATTAAAACATGTATATTATTGTAAAAATTTTAAAAAATCAGAGGGCAAACTGTAGTCTTCCAATTTTCTTAAGAAAAATGATAACATAATTTGAAAAGGAAATTGCAATTTGTTGAAGTGATGTTGAAAATGTATTTATAAATTTTATCGAAATAAAAAATGCTACAAAAAAGGATTTAATGGAATTATAAAACAAATTATAAAATATAAAAGGTATGACAGTGTCGGATAATTTGCAACACCAGCAAAAATTAAAATTAACAAAAAGCAGGAAAAACCACGTAAAGACGCAAAAAATTAGAAACTTCAGTCTAACCAAACCAAAAGCAACCAAAACTATTGAAAAAAATGCACCTATCGTTTTGTTCCATTTAATATAATATTCTATATTTATTTACATATAGACTTAAAAAATCAATAGATTTTTAACACAAAAAATAGAGTATTATTTGAAATTTCTGTTGTATAAATAAATTTTCAAATTCACATCAAAAATTGTATTTTTTAAAATTTTTGTTTAATAAATAATAAAAATAAATAAAATAAAATGGAAGATTATTTATAAATTGTAATGAAATGCACAGTAAAAAATGTTGCAAAATATAAGCATTGTGCAAACAAATTTGACATAAAATAAAAATATTTTCCAAACAATAATATTTAACTATGCACTTAAAATTAACACAGATTTTTCGTTCTTTTGAGGTTTGAAGAAGTTGTAACCAGTGATAACAATTGTCAGACATGAACTTACTTTCAGAAATAATCGTATTAATTAAATTATTATTAATATATTAATAAAAAATTTATCAAACTGACATTCATTCCGTTATTCTTTAAGTAATGGTTAAATAATATTCAGTATTCAGATAAATTACGAATTTTTTGTGATCGCCAATAAGAACACAACCAGAATCGATCGCTGTTGGAAATTTTAAAAATGAGAAGCGAGGGACGTATTCGCACAATTCGGCTACGATTTGAAATATACGCCAAAATGATTTTTCCAATGTTCCTCCGTGACTGGCACGAAAAGAAAGACGTATAATGCGAAAGTGGCACGGCTCGGACGGATTCACCTGAAAATTCATAATTCATTTGTTCATCCGATATACCGATGGCTACCGTCTTATATTGAAAACGTTTTGTGCGCTTTCAAAAAGCAATAATGGTACACCAAGCGTTTCCCACAAGCAACTGCGAAATTCTGCTGTCATGAAGGTTTATACAGCCGAACTGGGTCGCTGATGTCTGCGGGTATCATCATTCCTTGTTCTTTTACAACAAAGGATACGAAAATCATTATAGACTGTAAATTTGCGTTTTGCAAAGTTATATAGAAGAACACGAATGTATACGATAGGATGCCTTAAATAATATTATTATTTTGATAATGTTATAATTCAGATATATTAAAGATTCAGATCATGTCTTTTTTTTTTCATTTGTATTTTGTATATAAATAGTAGTATGATGAGATATTATTATTATTATTATTATTCCTTTCCTCAGCTGAAGCTGGAACTTTCACCTGCCCAATAACTTCTTAGGTGTTTTCTTCATGTTTGGGCTAGGCTCGGGCTGGTGGAGAGAAATTTCATTCTTTTCCACTAGATCCTTTTTTTTCCCTTTCATAGTTCTGCCCCATTCAGAAACTTGCGCGTTATATGGCATGTCTGAAGAATTACACATTTTTGCATGATTTCGTACAATCGTGTTGGTAAGTTTAGTTTATCGATATTTTTTTAGGTGCATCGTAAAGACTCCGTTTGCTGAAATTGTTATGGGGACTTTTGAGTTTCCAGACATTTTTGATCTTTCTTGCTAGGGTTTTCATACTTTGTAATTTTTTCGACCTCCATTTTAGAAACGTTCTCACTAAGTGGGCACGCCACATCTATAATAAATGCATGTTCGTTTTGTTTGTCAATGACCACTATGGAAATCCACAGTTATATCGGTGGTTATCGATCGGTCTCAATAGAGTAGGTGGGTGTTGGATTCCAGTACAGGTTCTGGTGAGTATTGATAACAGGATGGGGGAGAGGAGTCCATATTTTTTTGCTAGTTCTATGTGGACAATTTTTGCAACTTGGTTGTGGCAGCCAAAGTATGCCGTGTTAGATAGCGCTGGGCAGCCCGACGTGATATGTTCAATTGTTTCTCCAGGCTTACCACACTTTCGGCATATATCCACCACGTTTTTCTTTAGACAGGTTTTTTCATATGATCTGGTTTTTATTGTACGATCTTGGATGGCCGCTATAAATCGTTCAGTCTCTTTATACAGTTGGCCTTTTTTCAAACGAGTGAGTGAGCCCTCTTTGTCTATACGCTCATCCTGTAGAGTCTTCAGGTATTTACCATGCAATGATTTCTCTTGCCATGATTCAGTTTGATTCCTGGAAGTTAATTCTCATTTTTTCTTCTTGGTCCCGGCATAGCTTATAGATGTCGATGAGGCTTCGTCCACCATCTTTTCTGCTTAAATAGAATCTCTCGACAGCTGATCGGGGATTGTAAACTCTAAACTTAGTGAAGGTCCTTCGAGTCAATCTGTCTAGCTCACGGAGGTCGGTACCTGTGTATTTAAGGATTCCAAAGGAGTATGTAAGACCCGGTATTGCCCGTGTATTTCCAGCGGTTGTCAGGTTCCCCGAGTTTAAAAATGTGTTAAGCAGTTTGGTTAATCGCTTTCTATTATTTTTCTTTAAATTCGTTTTTAGGCCAGTGTGATCGATTGACCGATTCTGTGCGATGCCGAGGTATTTGTATACCGCCAAAGATTGAATGTCTTCCACCTCTCGACCTTGCTGAACTCTACCCTTCACGATTTGTACTGTACCGCATTTACCCACCGACATCCCAATATCACTGCTAAAAGTTTTCGTTGTTTTTATCAGCGAATGCAATTGGTCTGAGTTTTCGGCGTACCATTTAATGTCGTCCATAATCATTAAGTGCGAAACTCGGAGTCCCCTTCAAATCTTAGGTCGATAGCCGCTCGGTTCTGAGTTAAGCAGTGTTGACAGTGGGTTAAGGGAGAGGATAAACCAAAGTGGACTGAGGCTGTCCCCTTGAAAAATGCCTTTGCGAATGTAAATTTCCCCCAATCTGTCGCTGTCTAGGTGTAGTTGGGTCCGCCACCGAGTCATCAAAGTTGTATTGCAGGGTGTATTTTATATATTTCCAACCAGTCGTGTGGGACAGAGTCAAATGTTTTGCTGTAATCGATGTAACAGAGGCTGAGATTTCTACGTTCGACTCGGGCCTGTTTGAGGATTACTGAATCGATTATGAGTTGTTCTTTGCACCATAACGATTTTATTATTATTATTATTATTATATCTATAGGCATAAAAAGTGGCACTGTTCACTTTTGAATTTTGCAAAATTTGTAAATATTTCGATACAGAATATATAAGTTCATTAAAATTTCTATTTCTATTCCAGAAAAAAATTTAAAATTACTTTTTATATAAAATAAAATCGGAAAGCAACCATATTTTGAAACTTACACAAATTTGTTTAAGTTTCAAAATATTATTATTATAAAATATTTATTTTTTAATGAATTTGTAAAGAACCGCCTATTACAACAATACAGAGAATAACAGACCTCATGAAGCTTTAAATATTGAATACATTAAAATTGAAACTAAGTTGAATAAATTTAATTTTAAATTTTAAAGTTTTAGTTAAAAGTAAGATCTTTTTTATAAATAAACATTGCGATACAATTTTCCGATTTTTTTATAATCTTTTTTATTTTCAATTCAAGCAAGAAATAAGAAAATTGGAAGAACGGTTAACGACTAACCATTTGAAAATTTCAAAATCCGTATTTGAAACATTTTGTAAGATTAATGGAGGGTTGGTACATTTTTGATCACAGTTTTTTTATACAGATAATTCTTATTATTCGTTTATTAAAAAAAATGTTCCAACAAAAGTTTTCAAAAATATTTTTAACATAAATTCTGAAAAATCGTTTTTTAACTTAAACAAATTTGTTGCTTTTTCTTCTTCAGCATGAAGAACAATAATTTTCCTCTCTCTCTCTCTCATTATGTGATTTATATGTATTAAATAATTGAGAATACTATTTTTTAAAAATTGTTTCACAGTAGGGTTGCATTTGATAGCATTACATAGAAGCATCTTAGCATACTTTTTATTCACACCCTATTCAACTTCTTCATCCTTGGGAAGAGTTTCCATAAAGCTTTAAATATAATATTATTACAATTGAAAGTTTATTTTTGGCATTAGGGAATAAGAACGTACTTTGCAGTAAAGTTCTATATCAATCTATAAATTAATGCCAAATTCTAACCAAATTTTAAAGTATTTTAAAGCACAATGGGGGGTGCTCTAAACTCTGAAAAAAGAACGTTGGTTCGTTTATTTAAAATGTAATATTTAGCAAAATCTCTGGACTCGAACTTCTTAGTCTGGTGTTCTGTTTAAAAAAACACCAAAAATTATTGTTTTCATCGCGAACAATAAGGAAGAGGAAAATAAATCATTTACAGGAGACAAGATGTCCGTATATAAACGGAAGGATGTCCTGTTTTTTTTATTTGTAAAACTTTTCGTAAAAAGTGATACAATTTTCTCAGTATAAATTCCCATCTTATCGATTATTTTAATGTTATAACTTTCCAATTGCCATCTTATCGATTATTTTAATGTTATTTATTGTTTTTTATTTAAAAAATCCAAATGATAATGTTGCACCTTTTTCTTTCCTTCTTTATGTGCAAAAACCAGTGCTGTGTAGCTTCCAATGAACAATAGGACGTCGGTTCAGTGACGCTTAGTTTTTCGAAAGAGCAGTTTTCAGAAGCCAAGCCATTGCCAGTCGCCAATAAAATATTCTCACGGTGAAAT